GGGGGCCCTGTTGTCAGAGCAGTTCTCAACATCGGACTGTTGTTCAATAGCGTGCCGAGTTCGACATAAGATGTGTCCCAATACTCCCCCCCCCCTTCTCCTTGTGGGTATTGAGCCCTTAAATGTTGAATGATCCATTCCGTGGTTGTTTGGATTTTTTGTTCCATATCCATCTCGTGTGGTGGTGCATCCACGTCATGGTCATTCTCCACCATGATCTCATCCGGGGGAGGGGTGAATGCGGGTCAACTTCCATCGGTTGGGCCGTGAAGGCTTCTGAGAAAAAATCTGACCCTTTTCCTTTGTTGGGGTGCTTGAGCGTGTTGCACCTGCAATCCTACTGGCTCCTTTTTCCCCTCCCCTGCCGATGGCCCCTCTTGGGAACCCTTTTCCTTTTGCTCCCCTGCCCCGATCATGTGGCTCACCACCAGGCTCTGGCCAGCCTGCATTTCTCTCTCTTTTTTCGGGCCGTCATCCCAATCCTTCCTCGGCCTTGCTTCCTCGTTTTTGATCGCACAACTGACTTGCACCTTCTGCCTCCCGCAGGAGCCCCCCTGTGTTGTGACGAACCACTTTCTGTAGCGCGCGACTTTTTGCGCAGCTACGCTGAGGGGTCCTAAGCTGGGAAGGTTGGGCCAATTACGGGAGATTGGGATGGATGGGAAATTGCATCGGTGCCCTCGCTTCTTCGTCTTTTGCGTCGGTCCTTTTCGGTTGGCTGGGTTCGGAGCTGGGTGAGTTCCGGGACGGGTGATTGATTGGTCGAATGGCTGGCGCGCCGCCAAGCGCGCGATTAATAAATGTTGACGACAGTTCTTTTGGCTTGGGTTCGGAACTTTTTGGGCGCGGACATTGCGCGGGAATTTGCTTCGTTCCTTTTGAATTTTCTTTTTGCATTCTTTTTCGAATTTTGTCGAGCCCCGATGACTCTCGGAATTTCGGACTTTCCGTTCGGAACTCGTGCTTTTTGCTTTTTCGCACTAGGTAGGAATTTAGGAATTTTGTAATTAGGATTTTTTTTTGCCGCGCGGCGCCTTTTTGCTTACGCGCTTCTTTGTGCGGCTGCAACGGAATTCTGATTAGTCGGCGCCCTTAATCAATTGTGTCTCTGTAATCTTGGGTTGACGCCATTATAACTGTATCCTTCTTCTTGCGCCTCGTCTTTCCCGGCCTCCTTCTCTTTCTTTTGCTACGTTTTGGTAGCCACGGACTGCATGCTCAGATTGATGCGTGGAGAGTAGCTACGTCCCCCACGCCTCGGCCCGGTCATGCAGAATGTAGGCAATCCCTCTCTAAATCTCCCCTCTAAGTCTTGATAATTCCGTGTTCGTCGCGCATGCATGCACGCTATAAATTCCGGTTGCACGATTAGTTAGCTCTCTTAATCAGTTGTTGGAAGCTCGGGGTTGCGTGATCAGCGAGGATCGGCACACGAGCGAAGTAAGAGGTGAGTAGAGCAGGAGTCGGGCGACCCGACGAGCTGGTGCCAAACGCGCGGGGTTGACGCGGACCACGACGGACTGTGGGCGCGGGCGAACCTGGCGGGTGCAGGAGGACTAAGCAGGGTGATGGCTTCGTGGGTTGGTGCCCGACGACGGACTGTCCGCATCGGAGAGAGAGAGAGGGAGAGAGAGAGAGAGAGAGAGAGAGAGAGAGAGAGAGAGAGAGAGAGAGAGAGAGAGGGAACTGAGGTTGATGGATGCGGTTCTGTTGTTTCTTTTATCTTTCCTTCCTCCTGTATCGTGTACATAAATTTTGATTTCGGCTCCGGGCAGCTTGCCCATTTTTCTATTTCTCGGAATTTGGACTTGGGTTTTTACTCACACTTGTCCTTGCGATTTTCCACCTCTGATTCACACTGTGTATGATTGCTGAATGAATGGATGTATGGATGCCATATTTGATTGCTTATCTTTCGGCGGGATCCTTGTCTTTGCTTTTGTTCGCCGCATTTGATGCACTCGTAAGTATACGAATTTTGCGCAACCGCTGGTCCTGTCCTTGTCTCCATGTGTCTTTTGATTGGGCTGATCGTAATCGTTGCATCTTGCATACTCAAAACAGCACGGAATGATTAGACGATCGGATGTCGGGCTCGGCGAACGCCGCGCGAGGATACGTGTCAAACGCGATCTGAGTTGCGCAGTTACACGTATCCCCGGGCGTCGATCACAGGCGCATAGACTAATTGGACGGGGCTATCCCGGGGTCCGTAACGGTGCAATCGTCCCGCACGAACACGTGTAAGCCCGAAGTACTTTGCGTGGCCTGCACATGCTCCCACGCGGCGATCGTGTTCACCACGGACCCGCCCTTAGGCAACTCATAACCCCTCAATGACACAATGACGCGATCCTGGAATTCCGACTCATCATACGACCCGGATTACTTCACCCCTTGGATAAACGAACTCCTCCGACAGAGATACCCTTGCCTAACCGAGAACTGACTGTGTCCTCGAGAAGTTTATTGCGCCACTACCAGCGACCCCCGGTGCTCTGATTTCCCCTCTCCGGACCATACCTTCTACTTCACCCACCTCGGATTTGTCGTTATCTCCACCAGTTTCCGTCCGTCTTCTTCCGTATCATCAACTCAGCGTCGTCCCTTCGCCGGCCATAGCCCCCTACTGGCCCAGCACACCCTGCGGGAATTGCCGACGACGCGGCGATCAGAGAACCCCGGGATTTCGAAGGCCTAACCCGAATGCGCGACAACCAGCGCCACGTGGCAACTCCCGATGGCCCGACTCATCGGAACCCTATCTCCCCCGAAGGGACCCGCCTGCGAACCGCCGTCCCCAAAACCAATGGCTCGCTCGGCCTTGAGCGACCCGCGCATACCATCTGCCTTGTAACCAGGGGCGGTCCACCCTCTCCGCCAAATTGCACTCGTACCCCCAAAAAACCCTGCCACAAGAGATCTCAGTTCTGACCTGGGACTCCACTTTCCCAAAAATCCTTGGCACACCCCTTCTCGCACTTCCAGGCCCACATCCTACTCCGATCAGGAAGTCGCGCTGGGCATGAGGTTGGTATCGGAGCCTGACACATGGCCGGGTCTTAGGATTAATAGCACGTTAATTGGGGGATCTGGCTAACCAAGGGCGACCTTGACCCCGGAACGCGCATAGACGCGACCCCATCATCACCCGAAGTACATCAGCTAATCCACGGGCAGCCAACATGGCTGCTAATGTACAAAACCCGAATCCGCAACAGAATGCTAATCAACCCAATCCTAATTTACCTGCTCCACGAGCACAGGCTCCCATGACGCCACCCGATCTTTATCTATTCCACCCTGGACATCATCTCGCAGGAGCCTGGCTGGCCCCGCTTCGAGCACAGCAGTACGATGATAACGAAGCACAGATAAACATCCGCGCTCGATTAGGAGGAGACGCTCATCAGTGGTTCAGTACCTATGTATGGGTAGATCTTCAGACCTTCGAACGAGACTTTCTGAATCGATTTGATTACGTCCATCCATAGCAAGCACTTTACATGATCAAAGACCGAGTGCAAAAACCTCTCGAGTCTGTTGCAGAGTACCAAAAACGGTTCTACCGAATGTTTGTGAAGACTGAGCGAGGCGAGCAAGTCGGGAGAGATTTGTTTATTGATGGGCTTTGTAGCCGAACGATAAGGGCGAAGTTGCAAAAGCAATTTTTCCCCATCACCCATACATTGCAACAGATCATGGCTGCTGCAGAAGAAATGGAACGAAAGTTTGCGGCGAACTTCCTGGAAGGAGAAGACTATTCTAGGGAAGGAGATTCGTCCGAACTTGCGAGGGCGAGAGTCGAGCTGGCCGCATTACAGAACAAGTTTGAAAATATGGGACTTGTGTCTGGCCCGGTCACCTATCTAGAACAGGTGGGCCCTAAACGACCAACCCCAAATGAGATTCCGAGTGTCCCTGTCCCTGTGATGCCAACACTTGTGAGAATGCCCCCCCCGCCACCAATCGAGAGTCCAGTAAGAACAAATGAGTCCACGACCATCTTCGAACTAACCAAGACGTTAATTAGCCTAATCCAGGAAAGCAAAAAGGAACAGCAAGAGCACAACGCTCGGTTGGAAGCCATGATGAGAAACATGCGGCCCTTCGCGGTGCGTGCCCCTCCGATCCAACAAGGACTGGCCCCGACGCCTGTTCTAGGAGGAGCCGCAAGCAATATGAATGTCTGTTACGCATGCCACCAGCCAGGGCATCTAGCCCGTGATTGCCCCCACCGACCCCCGCAACAACGGGTTGGAGTTGCACCAATGGCCGCAGCTCCTATCGCTAACGGACCAGGACGAGTGGGAGCCCTGATGGAAGAAATAGAAGGTGGGGGAAGTGCCTTGGCAACCACGGAAGAAGTCGCCGAGCTCATCCCGTTAGATCAGTATGTATCGCTTGGATACCCTGGGCTTGGAATGATTGGAACGATCAGGTCAGCGCCGGAACCCAAGGAAGTGGCGGAGTGGCAACCTTCTCCCGGAGAAATGGAGTCGGGAGGACTCACCTTCGTCACAGGGGAGATCGACGTACAAAACATCATCAGAGTCTTGGATCATCGGATTCCACTTCTGACCGGCCATCTGCTCTCGATCTCCGAACAGGCTAATGAGTGGATGTTACAACACTGTAAGGCGAACCGAAAACGATTCGCCCTCGCCTGAACCACGAACGTAAAAGCCAAAAGTCCCATGCCAGAAGAAAACACGGCTGGCACGACGGATCCAATACGGGTAGGACTAATACCAAAGGATGACCATTTCTTGTGAATTAAAACCATCCCGTGGAAATCTGCAGAATGCGATATTGAAATATAGGGGATTCCGTACAACGCAATCATTGATTCGGGAGCTGTTGTTTTGGCTATCTCACTGAGAGTGGTTGAGAGGGCAGGTAGGAAAAACGACCTGATCATGCTTATAGAAAAGGATCAGCTCGTTTCGGTAAACGGAGAGAAAATTAAAACAGTGGGAAGAATGACCAATGTTGCTTTCCGATTGCGAAAAGTGCATGCACTGAGAGATGTCGTGGTGTTAGATTTAAATACCTACGACGTTCTTTTTGGACTTCCCGCTCTTGTGGCATTACGAGCGAACCTGGACTTCGAGCGAAGGTCAATCATCCTCCGAAATACGGGAGGAAAACCCTATGCTGTACCGATGAGTAGCATGAACGCAGTTCCTCGAGTTTCGCCCCATGCTAGCGGGGACTCTCCGTATGATTGTCTGGGAAGACTCTGCATACAATGAGCCATCATCGAAGGATGCGGATAGCAGTGACGAAAATGATCCGGAAATCTTGAAGCTAGCGCGACAGCGTATTTATTACCCGCCGCCCCGAACGATCGCCAGAACAATGCACCTAACTAATCGGAACATCCAACGAACCAAGGCGATGATTTTGGGTGAACCCCTCGTACAAATTTCGAGGATGGTCGATTCTTTGGAACCCACTCAAACCCTGTACGAAGGAATCTCCCCTCTCCTCGCCCGATACAACAACAAGAAACACTATTGCGATATAACAGATCTACCCAAGTCCTTTTTGACACCTGCAAAAGAGGTACGACTGTTACGCCTGGGGGCGGAGGCCAGTTCTTTGGAACCCCCTGGGTGTCTCGAGGCCGAATCAGACGAACTCGGAATAAAGATCGCAACTAAAACGGTGCCATGGCAAGATATCTGCGATGGGATCACCCCGGAAGGACACGTGGCCATCCGGGAGGAAGATGCCCAGATGATGGTCACTGTGTTCTCCTGGTGATCGGACGATTCGTTCATTTCTGCACCACCCGACGTGGCGAAACAAGCACGCACAAAGCAAATCGACGTACGAATCTGGGACCAGCCTTTTGAGTTACACGTTCCACAATGTGTACCTGATAAGATACACCGAGTAATTGCAGATATCCTGATAGAATATCAGGGAGCGATTAGCGTAACCGACACTGACATTGGCTTGTCGCTAGTTATTCAACACGAAATTCAGACGGGAAATCATTCCCCCATCCATTGCAAGCCTTACCGTTATTCCATGATAGAACGGAAAAAGACTCTCGAACGAATTCGGGAATTCGAAGCCAGTGGGTGGATTGAACCTGCCACTGGACCATGGTCGTTTCCCGTAGTGTTAGTACCGAAGAAAAACGGATCAATTCGCATATGCATCGATTATCGAAAGTTGAATGAAATCGCGATTAAAGATGTGTATCCCCTCCCCCAGATTGGTGATTTGCTGGATGCGATTGGATGCGCTAATTATTTTAGTAAGTTTGATATTCCGCATGGCTTCCATCACATTCTGGTCAAGGAGGAAGATAGGCCGAAGACGGCCTTCGTGCTGTTTGAGGGCACGTGGCAGTGGGTTCGGTGTCCGATGGGGATTTGCAACGCGCCTGCCACGTTTCAGCGGACGATGAACATGACATTCCAGAACTTCGTCAACAAGACGCGGCTAACTCAGGGAATGATCAACTTCTATGTGATCGTATACATGGATGACATCCTTGTCTACTCGGACACTTATCACGGGCATGCACAACACATTGAGTGGACGCTGGGAGCACTGAGGGACGCTGGATTTAAGATCGCGCTCGAAAAAAGCGAATTTTTCCTTTCGGAAATTTCGTTCTTGGGCTACGTCGTGACGCGTGGAGAACTGCGGCGTGACTCGAGAAAGGTCGCGGCGGTAAGAGAAGCTCCGGTTCCCACGTCGCTGACGCAGGTTCGAGCCTTCATGCGATTGGCATCGTACTATCGTCGTTTCATCAAGGGCTTCGCCGCGATTGCGCGGCCACTAACAAACCTGTTACGAAAGGACCAGCCTCTCAGTTGGGATGTGGAGTGTGAGCAGGCCTTCGCGACCCTCAAAGACGCTCTGGCAATGACACCTATTTTGATTTTCGACCGGACCCCTCGAAACAGTTTATTCTTATCACGGACTGGCAACCGGAGGCTATTTCCGCTATTCTAGCGCAGAAGGGGAACGATGGTCGCGAGCATGTCATCGAGTACGCGTCGCGCACGGTTCCAAACGAGAGGAGGAATGACTCAGCAGCCCAAGGCGAATGCTATGCAGTAGTCTGGGGAATCCATCACTTCCATCCGTATCTTTACGGGCAGAAGTTCCACCTCGTAACGGATCATGAGCCCCTGCTGGCCTTGAAGAAGCTCACGAATTACACGAGTATGATTGGACGATGGGCGATACGGCTACAGGAATACGACTTCGACATCGTCCATCGGAAGACAAAAAGACACGGTAACGCGGACGGACTGACATGTCTACAACGGCCCCTTAAAGTACCGAAAGGCGAGGAAATCACTCCGTGGAAGGAGTTGGAACCGGCAAACGGGCCTAAGTCCGGACAGGTGGCAGTTCTCCCACGTGGCAAGAAGCAGACTTGTGGCAATGGGTGACAGAGGTAGTGACGGAGGTAACCTCACTACCCCTCTTTCTCCCGTCTCCTCTTCGTCTATTTTCTCCCTGCCTGATAAATTTTGCTATGTTTGCGAAGCAATCTCTCGCGTATACTCTGTCTCCATGTGTCCTAACGGGGAAGGGTATGCGGAATGGATAGAACTGCCGACAGTGTGTCGCACGAGCCCACGGCTCGTGCATCCAATACCGAAATGATAGTAAACCGTGGTTATGCCCCTTCTGTCGGGTTGACAAGATCCCGACCGAAGCTCACTTCCTGGATGCCACGTCAGAAGGGTTGGAAAAGACCCAAAAGTTTCGAAGGGCCAAAGTATGGACCGACATCGCCTTGATTGCCACCTTAGTGGGTAACCCCCTCAAGGATTTCACCAAGGAAGATCGGAGAAGGGCTAACAAGGGCTCGGGATTATCGATGGATAGAGGGTAGGTTAGAAAAATGGAAAACGGACGGCAGTGGGATTTGGATGGTTGTACCGCATCCGTTCATGAGGTACGACTGGGTAAAGACGACACATGAAGAAACGGCAGCCCACTTTGTCGTACGGATTACTGAATCAGCAATCGATAAAAACGAGTGGTATTGGTCCAATATTCGGGACGATGTGAAATTCATCGTCGCAAACTGTCAAGTATGCGCTGCTGACAAGGCGTCGATCCAGCCGCCAAGATCGATAGTTCCAACGGTAGTTGAACGACCGTTCCAAAGGGTGAGTATGGATACTACCGANGAGAGAGAGAGAGAGAGAGAGAGAGAGAGAGAGAGAGAGAGAGAGAGAGAGAGAGGGAACTGAGGTTGATGGATGCGGTTCTGTTGTTTCTTTTATCTTTCCTTCCTCCTGTATCGTGTACATAAATTTTGATTTCGGCTCCGGGCAGCTTGCCCATTTTTCTATTTCTCGGAATTTGGACTTGGGTTTTTACTCACACTTGTCCTTGCGATTTTCCACCTCTGATTCACACTGTGTATGATTGCTGAATGAATGGATGTATGGATGCCATATTTGATTGCTTATCTTTCGGCGGGATCCTTGTCTTTGCTTTTGTTCGCCGCATTTGATGCACTCGTAAGTATACGAATTTTGCGCAACCGCTGGTCCTGTCCTTGTCTCCATGTGTCTTTTGATTGGGCTGATCGTAATCGTTGCATCTTGCATACTCAAAACAGCACGGAATGATTAGACGATCGGATGTCGGGCTCGGCGAACGCCGCGCGAGGATACGTGTCAAACGCGATCTGAGTTGCGCAGTTACACGTATCCCCGGGCGTCGATCACAGGCGCATAGACTAATTGGACGGGGCTATCCCGGGGTCCGTAACGGTGCAATCGTCCCGCACGAACACGTGTAAGCCCGAAGTACTTTGCGTGGCCTGCACATGCTCCCACGCGGCGATCGTGTTCACCACGGACCCGCCCTTAGGCAACTCATAACCCCTCAATGACACAATGACGCGATCCTGGAATTCCGACTCATCATACGACCCGGATTACTTCACCCCTTGGATAAACGAACTCCTCCGACAGAGATACCCTTGCCTAACCGAGAACTGACTGTGTCCTCGAGAAGTTTATTGCGCCACTACCAGCGACCCCCGGTGCTCTGATTTCCCCTCTCCGGACCATACCTTCTACTTCACCCACCTCGGATTTGTCGTTATCTCCACCAGTTTCCGTCCGTCTTCTTCCGTATCATCAACTCAGCGTCGTCCCTTCGCCGGCCATAGCCCCCTACTGGCCCAGCACACCCTGCGGGAATTGCCGACGACGCGGCGATCAGAGAACCCCGGGATTTCGAAGGCCTAACCCGAATGCGCGACAACCAGCGCCACGTGGCAACTCCCGATGGCCCGACTCATCGGAACCCTATCTCCCCCGAAGGGACCCGCCTGCGAACCGCCGTCCCCAAAACCAATGGCTCGCTCGGCCTTGAGCGACCCGCGCATACCATCTGCCTTGTAACCAGGGGCGGTCCACCCTCTCCGCCAAATTGCACTCGTACCCCCAAAAAACCCTGCCACAAGAGATCTCAGTTCTGACCTGGGACTCCACTTTCCCAAAAATCCTTGGCACACCCCTTCTCGCACTTCCAGGCCCACATCCTACTCCGATCAGGAAGTCGCGCTGGGCATGAGGTTGGTATCGGAGCCTGACACATGGCCGGGTCTTAGGATTAATAGCACGTTAATTGGGGGATCTGGCTAACCAAGGGCGACCTTGACCCCGGAACGCGCATAGACGCGACCCCATCATCACCCGAAGTACATCAGCTAATCCACGGGCAGCCAACATGGCTGCTAATGTACAAAACCCGAATCCGCAACAGAATGCTAATCAACCCAATCCTAATTTACCTGCTCCACGAGCACAGGCTCCCATGACGCCACCCGATCTTTATCTATTCCACCCTGGACATCATCTCGCAGGAGCCTGGCTGGCCCCGCTTCGAGCACAGCAGTACGATGATAACGAAGCACAGATAAACATCCGCGCTCGATTAGGAGGAGACGCTCATCAGTGGTTCAGTACCTATGTATGGGTAGATCTTCAGACCTTCGAACGAGACTTTCTGAATCGATTTGATTACGTCCATCCATAGCAAGCACTTTACATGATCAAAGACCGAGTGCAAAAACCTCTCGAGTCTGTTGCAGAGTACCAAAAACGGTTCTACCGAATGTTTGTGAAGACTGAGCGAGGCGAGCAAGTCGGGAGAGATTTGTTTATTGATGGGCTTTGTAGCCGAACGATAAGGGCGAAGTTGCAAAAGCAATTTTTCCCCATCACCCATACATTGCAACAGATCATGGCTGCTGCAGAAGAAATGGAACGAAAGTTTGCGGCGAACTTCCTGGAAGGAGAAGACTATTCTAGGGAAGGAGATTCGTCCGAACTTGCGAGGGCGAGAGTCGAGCTGGCCGCATTACAGAACAAGTTTGAAAATATGGGACTTGTGTCTGGCCCGGTCACCTATCTAGAACAGGTGGGCCCTAAACGACCAACCCCAAATGAGATTCCGAGTGTCCCTGTCCCTGTGATGCCAACACTTGTGAGAATGCCCCCCCCGCCACCAATCGAGAGTCCAGTAAGAACAAATGAGTCCACGACCATCTTCGAACTAACCAAGACGTTAATTAGCCTAATCCAGGAAAGCAAAAAGGAACAGCAAGAGCACAACGCTCGGTTGGAAGCCATGATGAGAAACATGCGGCCCTTCGCGGTGCGTGCCCCTCCGATCCAACAAGGACTGGCCCCGACGCCTGTTCTAGGAGGAGCCGCAAGCAATATGAATGTCTGTTACGCATGCCACCAGCCAGGGCATCTAGCCCGTGATTGCCCCCACCGACCCCCGCAACAACGGGTTGGAGTTGCACCAATGGCCGCAGCTCCTATCGCTAACGGACCAGGACGAGTGGGAGCCCTGATGGAAGAAATAGAAGGTGGGGGAAGTGCCTTGGCAACCACGGAAGAAGTCGCCGAGCTCATCCCGTTAGATCAGTATGTATCGCTTGGATACCCTGGGCTTGGAATGATTGGAACGATCAGGTCAGCGCCGGAACCCAAGGAAGTGGCGGAGTGGCAACCTTCTCCCGGAGAAATGGAGTCGGGAGGACTCACCTTCGTCACAGGGGAGATCGACGTACAAAACATCATCAGAGTCTTGGATCATCGGATTCCACTTCTGACCGGCCATCTGCTCTCGATCTCCGAACAGGCTAATGAGTGGATGTTACAACACTGTAAGGCGAACCGAAAACGATTCGCCCTCGCCTGAACCACGAACGTAAAAGCCAAAAGTCCCATGCCAGAAGAAAACACGGCTGGCACGACGGATCCAATACGGGTAGGACTAATACCAAAGGATGACCATTTCTTGTGAATTAAAACCATCCCGTGGAAATCTGCAGAATGCGATATTGAAATATAGGGGATTCCGTACAACGCAATCATTGATTCGGGAGCTGTTGTTTTGGCTATCTCACTGAGAGTGGTTGAGAGGGCAGGTAGGAAAAACGACCTGATCATGCTTATAGAAAAGGATCAGCTCGTTTCGGTAAACGGAGAGAAAATTAAAACAGTGGGAAGAATGACCAATGTTGCTTTCCGATTGCGAAAAGTGCATGCACTGAGAGATGTCGTGGTGTTAGATTTAAATACCTACGACGTTCTTTTTGGACTTCCCGCTCTTGTGGCATTACGAGCGAACCTGGACTTCGAGCGAAGGTCAATCATCCTCCGAAATACGGGAGGAAAACCCTATGCTGTACCGATGAGTAGCATGAACGCAGTTCCTCGAGTTTCGCCCCATGCTAGCGGGGACTCTCCGTATGATTGTCTGGGAAGACTCTGCATACAATGAGCCATCATCGAAGGATGCGGATAGCAGTGACGAAAATGATCCGGAAATCTTGAAGCTAGCGCGACAGCGTATTTATTACCCGCCGCCCCGAACGATCGCCAGAACAATGCACCTAACTAATCGGAACATCCAACGAACCAAGGCGATGATTTTGGGTGAACCCCTCGTACAAATTTCGAGGATGGTCGATTCTTTGGAACCCACTCAAACCCTGTACGAAGGAATCTCCCCTCTCCTCGCCCGATACAACAACAAGAAACACTATTGCGATATAACAGATCTACCCAAGTCCTTTTTGACACCTGCAAAAGAGGTACGACTGTTACGCCTGGGGGCGGAGGCCAGTTCTTTGGAACCCCCTGGGTGTCTCGAGGCCGAATCAGACGAACTCGGAATAAAGATCGCAACTAAAACGGTGCCATGGCAAGATATCTGCGATGGGATCACCCCGGAAGGACACGTGGCCATCCGGGAGGAAGATGCCCAGATGATGGTCACTGTGTTCTCCTGGTGATCGGACGATTCGTTCATTTCTGCACCACCCGACGTGGCGAAACAAGCACGCACAAAGCAAATCGACGTACGAATCTGGGACCAGCCTTTTGAGTTACACGTTCCACAATGTGTACCTGATAAGATACACCGAGTAATTGCAGATATCCTGATAGAATATCAGGGAGCGATTAGCGTAACCGACACTGACATTGGCTTGTCGCTAGTTATTCAACACGAAATTCAGACGGGAAATCATTCCCCCATCCATTGCAAGCCTTACCGTTATTCCATGATAGAACGGAAAAAGACTCTCGAACGAATTCGGGAATTCGAAGCCAGTGGGTGGATTGAACCTGCCACTGGACCATGGTCGTTTCCCGTAGTGTTAGTACCGAAGAAAAACGGATCAATTCGCATATGCATCGATTATCGAAAGTTGAATGAAATCGCGATTAAAGATGTGTATCCCCTCCCCCAGATTGGTGATTTGCTGGATGCGATTGGATGCGCTAATTATTTTAGTAAGTTTGATATTCCGCATGGCTTCCATCACATTCTGGTCAAGGAGGAAGATAGGCCGAAGACGGCCTTCGTGCTGTTTGAGGGCACGTGGCAGTGGGTTCGGTGTCCGATGGGGATTTGCAACGCGCCTGCCACGTTTCAGCGGACGATGAACATGACATTCCAGAACTTCGTCAACAAGACGCGGCTAACTCAGGGAATGATCAACTTCTATGTGATCGTATACATGGATGACATCCTTGTCTACTCGGACACTTATCACGGGCATGCACAACACATTGAGTGGACGCTGGGAGCACTGAGGGACGCTGGATTTAAGATCGCGCTCGAAAAAAGCGAATTTTTCCTTTCGGAAATTTCGTTCTTGGGCTACGTCGTGACGCGTGGAGAACTGCGGCGTGACTCGAGAAAGGTCGCGGCGGTAAGAGAAGCTCCGGTTCCCACGTCGCTGACGCAGGTTCGAGCCTTCATGCGATTGGCATCGTACTATCGTCGTTTCATCAAGGGCTTCGCCGCGATTGCGCGGCCACTAACAAACCTGTTACGAAAGGACCAGCCTCTCAGTTGGGATGTGGAGTGTGAGCAGGCCTTCGCGACCCTCAAAGACGCTCTGGCAATGACACCTATTTTGATTTTCGACCGGACCCCTCGAAACAGTTTATTCTTATCACGGACTGGCAACCGGAGGCTATTTCCGCTATTCTAGCGCAGAAGGGGAACGATGGTCGCGAGCATGTCATCGAGTACGCGTCGCGCACGGTTCCAAACGAGAGGAGGAATGACTCAGCAGCCCAAGGCGAATGCTATGCAGTAGTCTGGGGAATCCATCACTTCCATCCGTATCTTTACGGGCAGAAGTTCCACCTCGTAACGGATCATGAGCCCCTGCTGGCCTTGAAGAAGCTCACGAATTACACGAGTATGATTGGACGATGGGCGATACGGCTACAGGAATACGACTTCGACATCGTCCATCGGAAGACAAAAAGACACGGTAACGCGGACGGACTGACATGTCTACAACGGCCCCTTAAAGTACCGAAAGGCGAGGAAATCACTCCGTGGAAGGAGTTGGAACCGGCAAACGGGCCTAAGTCCGGACAGGTGGCAGTTCTCCCACGTGGCAAGAAGCAGACTTGTGGCAATGGGTGACAGAGGTAGTGACGGAGGTAACCTCACTACCCCTCTTTCTCCCGTCTCCTCTTCGTCTATTTTCTCCCTGCCTGATAAATTTTGCTATGTTTGCGAAGCAATCTCTCGCGTATACTCTGTCTCCATGTGTCCTAACGGGGAAGGGTATGCGGAATGGATAGAACTGCCGACAGTGTGTCGCACGAGCCCACGGCTCGTGCATCCAATACCGAAATGATAGTAAACCGTGGTTATGCCCCTTCTGTCGGGTTGACAAGATCCCGACCGAAGCTCACTTCCTGGATGCCACGTCAGAAGGGTTGGAAAAGACCCAAAAGTTTCGAAGGGCCAAAGTATGGACCGACATCGCCTTGATTGCCACCTTAGTGGGTAACCCCCTCAAGGATTTCACCAAGGAAGATCGGAGAAGGGCTAACAAGGGCTCGGGATTATCGATGGATAGAGGGTAGGTTAGAAAAATGGAAAACGGACGGCAGTGGGATTTGGATGGTTGTACCGCATCCGTTCATGAGGTACGACTGGGTAAAGACGACACATGAAGAAACGGCAGCCCACTTTGTCGTACGGATTACTGAATCAGCAATCGATAAAAACGAGTGGTATTGGTCCAATATTCGGGACGATGTGAAATTCATCGTCGCAAACTGTCAAGTATGCGCTGCTGACAAGGCGTCGATCCAGCCGCCAAGATCGATAGTTCCAACGGTAGTTGAACGACCGTTCCAAAGGGTGAGTATGGATACTACCGATATTATGGTACCCCCTGGTCCTAATAGTTGCGGATATTCAGTCCTATTGGTATTCGTCAACCATTTTTCGAAATGGATCGAGGCCTACCCCTGTCGTACGCGACAAGCCGCCGAAATCGCGCGGTATGTTAACCGTTTTCTCGGGATGCACCAGGATACGGAAGAAATCCTCACCGATAACGGGGCAGAATTCAGAGGGGAAGTATTAAGGAACCTGGTCATACATGGTGTCGCTGTACGGAACACCGCGCCCCACATGTCACAATCTAATGGACTGGTAGAAAACGCCAATAGGGTGATAAAGACGGCACTGCGACGCAACATCGCGGCGCGAGATCCGAGGCCCTGGCCCGATATCGTCAACCGCATCTTAGCGGTCCATCGCGGAACGCCCCATGAATCGACGGGCCTGAGCCCCTTTCAATTAAGGACTAATCGCATCGCTTGCGTTTCGATACCAAGCCTCCTTGACGAATCAACGCTCAACCGTTGGCCCACAAGGGCCACCACGCGGGACAAAGCCAAGCGGCACCTAGAGTTAAGGGAACGGTCCTTCCCCAGGCTAGCCCGAAAACGCCAGAAAATGACCGAGTTGGCCCATGGCCGACAGGTCCGAAGCTACGAGGCCCGGAACGGGAACGCTGGTCCATGGCCTCAGTACAAATTGGGGGACGTTGTGCAGGTAAGGAAATGTGCTCGCAGGGTAAGCTAGCGCCACGATTCTTCGGGCGATTTCGCGTGATTGAGCTTGAACCGAATGCCGTGAACACTGTGCGGCTTGCGCCTGAAGTCTCCGGCAGCCGATTGGCTCGTCCGATCATCCGCCACGTGTCTTACCTTCGTCCCCTCCCGCCTTCCCCATCTTCGCATTCATCCGAATCCTCCTGCGCTGCGGAAGAGGATGACGACTGCTTATCGCCTGCCTCTCTGTCTCCTTCCCGTTCTCTCTCTATCACTCCATCGCCATCGCCATGAGTTTTCTTACAGACCGAGCTCTCGGCAATTCTCTGCTGGTGCCCCGGTGTCACATCTCGGCGATTCGACAAGTTCATCATACGCGGCTCAATCTAGATCTTCGCCGACTTGCGCAGTTCTTCTGTAACCAGGGAGTGTACGAGGCTGCTGAGTTTCGTTTTGCAGGAAGTCCCCGGGCGGTTGTTTTAGCAGAGGCGGTAGGAGTTCATCGGCGATCGGCTCCAAGAATCAGCCACGTGTCTACGGTGGTCTCCTTCAGTGGCGACATCAGCACCATCAACCCGCTGCGGCATACAGCTATCAAGACGATGCTCCGGCTGAGGGCACACCAGTTGGCGGCGGAGTGGAATCAGTGGCTCACGCCCCACGGAGACAACCTTTTTCCCACTGACGGTGTCGATTTCGACGGGATTCGAACTTTCCAGCATGAGCCAGCGGTGGCGCTCCCGGAACTCGTCCACTTCCCCCGTCCTGAATGAACCCATCCCCGATCTCCACTTTCGACCTTCCCTCCTTCTTTCCCACCTTCTGGCAATCCGGAGTCCATCCCCATCTTTCCTTTCATCTGGAATCACTTGCTGTCCCCCTCCTCGATCCCCTGCAGTGGAGACGTTGGAGGGAGCACTTCGTCGAGATATCAGTGTGTCTGGTCGGAGTAAGGGTCACGTGGACGCAGCACGGAGATCACCGTCAGTGGGCCGAGTACCTCGAGCTGCTTATCATTCAGGCGTGGCGAATGGAAGTGGAGGGTGATCTGCTCGGATTCCTCTTCGGATCGGTGCGACCCGATCATCGCCAACTGATCGTACACGAGCTAATGGTCCCCCTTGCACAGCTGGTCCACGATCTCCCACTCGAGATCGTCTCGCAGAGCGACGACAGCCCAGTCCCGCACGTTCTCACGCGAACCTTGGCCCCATATCTTCAGTGGTCGGTGTGCTTGGAGGAGCCGGGAGTTGCCGCAACCCGCCGTCACAGCGCGATTATCTGGACCCGCACGAGATAGTCGATCTCGCCTTCTTCCAATATCGGACGACTTCCGAAAACGAAGAGATAGAGATTGAAGCGGAAGAGGAAAGCTCGGAAGAAGAAAGCTTGGAAGAAGAAAGCTCGGAAGAAGAAGAGGAGGTCGAAGAAGAAGCCGACGAGGAAGAAACTCCCGAAGAGGGGAGTTACAGTGAGCACAGCGAAGGAGAGCAAAGTGAGGAGGAGGAAGAACAAGACGACGACGAAGAAGAAGAAGAAGAAGACCAGGAGGAAGAAGAGGAGTCGGAGTACGAAGGATTTGAGGAAGAAGTGCGTGACGAGGCTCGGGCGCAAGCTCAAGTGCAGAAGAGGGAAAAGATCGCGGCCGGGAAGTGACAGTTGGAATTCGCCAGCGCAACCGGTCAGCCGCGCACCGACGATCCGACCCGGAATCCAGAGCCGCCTAAGCCCGAGG